TTTTTTTTTTTTTTTTTTTTTTTTTTTTTTTTATGTCACCTGCTGTTACAATCCCAGAAAGCAAGAGCCAAGCCCTGGGTCCTCAGGTGCCCCCAGTCCGGAGTACAGGCCTGGCTATTGAGGAAACATTCAGAAAATGCTGCTACAGATGAACCTAAGCCCTGGCCAGGCTGTGCCCCAAGCCCAGGCCTTGCCGCTCACTCCCTGTGCCCTGAGTAAGTTCTCTGTCCTCCTTGGGCCTCAGTTTTCTCATCTACACAACGACAGGATTGGACCAGAAGGATTTAAGGACACTTTCCAACTCAAAGATCCACTCATTCATTCACTCAGCAGCATTTACTGAGCACGGAGTTCATACCAGCCTTGATCTGCATCCTGGGGAGACCGCAGTGATCGACAGAGACAGATACTGTACCCTCATCAAACTTGCCTCTAAAGGTGGAGCCAGTGACAAGGACAACAAATAAATGAGTCTAGAATATTATTACAGTAACATCAGGACGCACAGAAAAAGAAAGCAGGGCAAGGGGTCAAAGAACAGCAAGGGGGCTGTCAGGGAAGGCTTCAGGGAGGAGGTGACATTTGAGCCAAGCCCTGGTTAAAGAGGGAGAACATGGCAGATTCTGTCTTCTGTCTGAACAAAAGATGAAAAGCCACTACTGACCACAATGTGGAGCAGTGAGCCCAGCCTGGGAGACAGATCACCTGAGTTCCCATCCCGACTCTGCCACCCACTCCTATGTGACCCTGGGAAGGTCACTGCCCATCTCTGAGCCTCAAGTCTTCATCTGTGCCTGAGGGAGTGAACCGCAGTCTAGTTTCCTTAAAATAGTTCTGAGAGTCTGCATTTCTGAGTATTTGGGTTCTGACTCAACCCCAGCCTCTCAACTTTTGCTATTAATAAGGGGCTGCAAGAGGGCTGGCCTCTGTCCCCAAGGCCTGCTGGGAACAGTGAGGAGGCCCAGGGAGGGCAGCACCCCTGCACTCACCTCTCAGACCGCAGCTGCTGGGCCACGGCCATGGCCGTCAGTGGTCCAGGAGAGTGGGTGACGGAGGGTCTCACCCAGCCAGGCCCAGACTGAGTTCACCTCTCACTTCCTTCCGGCCACCCAGCGTCTGGGCTGCGGTCCCAGGAGTCCCCAGGAAATTTTGGGGAGGCCCCACCCCTGCTTCTCTGAGCTCTAGCAGAGGCCCCTCCTCCAGGCGCTCTGGGTCTAGCCAGTGGCCCACACTTCCTCTTCCCTATGTCCCAGCTGCACGGCATTTGGGGAAATGCACAGCCTCAGATGCCAGGTTTGCCTGATTTGGGGCTTTGGGGACTTTCTCAATGCCAGTTCTTGGTGCCGGCCTCAGGTGGGCATCAGAGAACCCACTTCATCAGAGGCAGTCTCAGTGCTGGCTTGGCCACCAAGGGGCCCTGTGACCTTGGGGAGTCACTCCTCATTCTCCTGCTCATCAAACCCAAAACCATGCCCCCCCACTGCTGAGCCTGTGCCCAGGGGCTTCTCTAGGCCTGGAGTGCTGGCCTCTCCCATGCCTGCCATCCCTCCAGCCCAGCTCAGATGCCGCCTCTTTCAGGAAGCCTCCCCAGTTCCTCTGACAGAATCAGTGCTCACAGGCCCCTCTGTCATGTTGGGGTGTGAGAGCTGGTCCATCTTCCCCTTCTCCTTCCCCTCCCCCTTGCCCTGGAGCTCTGGGCTATACTTTCCTCTAGATCTTTGGGCCTATGCAGGACCTGCACGGCCAAGCCTCTCTGCAGGGCTGCCAGCCAGAGTGACTGCCTGTCACAACCTGATCACACCCTTCTCAGCTGAAACTCTTCAGTTGCTCACCCTGCTCTAGAAGCCCAGACTCCCAGCCCTCCTGCCTCTGCAGGTCCTGCTGGCTTTCCCAGCCCCCTCTCGCAAGCTGTCTCCTTCCCACACTGGCCTCCATTCCATTTCTAGAACACTCCAAGATGCCTGCTCCTCAGGGCCGCTGTGCATGCTGTTCCTCTGCCAGGATGCTCTTCCCTGTCTCCTTTAGGGCTCGGGTTAGAAGTCACCTCTTCAGCAAGGCCTTCCCTCCCCCTCCCCCTGAATGAAGGCCCTCCCTTAATGCTCTCTCGCAAGTCTCTGTACTTCCACTTCAGAGCAGCTGGACTGTTAGCATCTTTCATATTTAGACGTTTAATGACCGCCTTCCTGGCTCGCCCAGTGTCTACACAGGGCAAGCACTCCGCCCATATTCTATATTCAGGGAAGGAATGAGCGCTTCCAGTTGGCGATTCTGTGGCTCCCCTCACGCGTGTGGCTGTTGGATTCTGGAGGGAGCTCTCTGAGAAGAAGTCCACAGCCATGCCCAGGAACCCCAGCCAGTCACACTCACACTCACACTCACACTCACACTCACACTCACACTCACACTCACTCACGCACTACAGATGCAAAGCAGGACAGCAGAGGACATAGGTGAAGACACAGCCTGCCTTGGTGTCCGTGAATTACAGAATGGGATCTTCTGACTCCCTCTGCCCCAGACTCATGCTACCTTAAGATTCCCAGGGCTGGGACAAGGGTCTGCGGGGACAAAGCCAGCTGGGTGGAGCCTGGAGCCAGGGTCTCCCACTGCAGGTCCTTTGTCATTTCCCAGAAGAAAGGACTGGGGACAGGATCCATCCTCAGGATCCCAAGGACTGTGTTACCCCAAGAATGGAGAGCAGCTGGCAGCCTCAAGGCCTCTCTGAGCCCCGGCTCTGCCCCACCCAGGCACCCCAAGGAGCTTTCTGCCCAAATAGAGTTCAGGGTGGGGCAGGGTCCGCAGGAGGAAAGGTGCTCTGGGCCCAGCCTGCAGTCCTGACTGAAGAGCATGTCCCTCTCCTCCTCCAGGCAGGCCAGGGCCCAGGGCTCTTCTGAAACCAGGTCCTTTATGGACACCGTGGGAGGTAAGGACAGAGCTGAGGAAAGACAGAGGACAGGACAAGAAAGGACAAAAGATACTCAACCAAAAACTATTTATTGAGCAAGGCACTTGAAATACAGAGATAAATGAAGACGGCAGGGCGAGCACAAGTTGAAATTTCCCTTCCTCCTACAGCCACATAGAATATGTTGGATGAGATATTTTCAAGTATTTTAAACATGTAGAACCCAGCTCAAAGGAAAGAAAATATAAATTTCAGGAGGAACCTGTACCAGTGAGAGAGGCTGGTGCCCCACACCCCATGGAAAAACCAAGGGTGGATATGGGTTGTTGGGGCTGAGATTTTAATGCTAATGCTAATCTGGGTCTGGGTCTGGGTCCAGGCCATGGTCCTGGTGTCGGCAGGAAGTCAAAGCTGAGCTCCTGGTATGAAGCTGGGTGTCAGAGCTGATTAGAGGAACAGAATTTCTCAACCATCAGCCCAGGTAACTGCAGGACTCTGTACGTTCAGACCATCCTATGTGGTTACCTCTGCTCTCTGAGTTTGTGGGGCCCACCACGCAGGCCTGCCCTGAGCTTGTCGGGTTCAGTATGTGGCCCCTTTTCGTCCACAGTAACATGCATATAAAGACATATAACTGTAGGCAAGCATGTGTCCATGGTGTGTCTATACAGGAGCCCACAATGTGTACAGTGGTGACACTGTGGGAGTGAGAGGACATATTCAGATGCCCAAGTCCAAGTGGGTGCAGAGTGAGTCACTGATAGCACATGAACTTGGGCAAGCGCCCATGCCCTTCCCTGCCCTCTCTTCACTCATCTGTAAAGTGGGCTTACCCAATGGGGTTGTGGTGAGAATTCATGAGAAAAATACACCAAAAGCTTGCGGACACACGGCAGTTTCTCCTTTTTGTTTACAGTTTGAGTGTGTGTGTGTGTGTGTGTGTTTTGGGTAGGCCTAGCCCTCAAGTTCAACTTCCCAGGTTTCTCGAGACCTTGCCTTCCCATGCATGCCCCCTTGACCCCAGGGAGCCTCCCACGGCCCTGACTCATCCACAAGGCAGCTGCCTCCGAAGTGGGGGAGGAGGTTGTCCAGGGGAAGGCCCAGGGCCTGGGGTGGCCTCCCCCTCCCCTTCTCTCCCTCTCTTCTGTCCCTGCCGTGGTTCTGCTGAATGTGGGTATTTCTCTGGCTCCTCATACAGAGAACACCGCTGCTAATTTTATGCCTGGGTCCCGCTACGGTGTAATTTGAGGCCAGACACTCTGTCAGCAGTGGGCTCCGGTCCTGCTGCTGCTGCTGCGTTTCTGGGTCTCCCCTACCCCCCCCCAAGAGGAGACAAGCTCTTCACTCGTTCCATTAAGCAAGTAGGAAGTGTTTGAAGTGGCCTTTCCCGTGTCAGAGCATAACCTCCGCCTCCACAGCCTGTGATAAACAACAGTCACTGAGCAGCCTGAATGGGCAGCCCCAGTCCGGGCACTGACGCTTGTATGCACAGATATTTAGAAGAACCTCTGGACCTCCCCTCCTGCCAGGTTACTTTGAGATCACACCAAACCCCCCAAACTCAAAGATTTTAAGCAGCGAGTTAGGAGGAAGAAAACTGCTAGGGGCCCTGGGAAGCATATGACAATTAAGTGACATTCTGCCAAAGACCAAGAGGATGGAATGCTGAAAAAAAGGCTCGGGAACTCAAAAACAAACGCCAGGGGCCTTCAGAGAAGGGGCATGGCTGGCTGCTTTATGAAAGTTTACCAGTGTCCATTCAAAACCACGTCTCCGGGAAAGGTCCAATATGCTCAGCCCAGACCTGAGGGATTCCCAGCATGCATGCTGGGGTGCTGGGGTACACAGGATGGAGCACAGCACTCCGTTTAGAGATGAGGAAACCCTCCTCTGAGCAGCTGGTGGTCAGGCCAAGAGCCCCAGCTGCGGGAAATGGAGTACGTTGACCGGTGACCGAGACTGAGGACGGTCTGGGCTTAGGGGGAGGGGAGCGTTTTCTGCAGGACCAGGAGATGCCCTAGGGAGCTCATCATGGGGACTCAGCAGATAAGGGCTGCCTGAGTCAGCAGTTCTCCTAGGGAAAGGAAGGAAAATCCCAGATTAGACCAGCAAGATTCCAGAAGATCCCTCGAGCACTGAATTCCCCAATCCTGACCCACATGTGTCTCCCTTCATAATTTATGAGGGGACCTTCACTGGACAGCCTCCCTGAGCCATAAATAGCCATTTCTGGCAGGCCCCCGGGAGCAGCACTTGAAAACAGGCAGGGTGTGGCTGAGGCCTATGAGACAGCAAGCTCTCTGAAGGCCCAGGGCCTGCACTCCGCTGTGAGGCCCCAACACACAGCAAAGCTGGTCTGGCCCTCAGGCTCCCTGGCTCTGGCATGTGCCAGCTGTGTATCTTCTCTGACCATCAGCTTCCCCAGTCATGTTCTAAATGGAGATGCTAAGATTTACTTCATAGGATTACTACATTATTCATTTGTTCAAAATCTGTTGAGCACCTACTATGTGCCAGACACCTACTGTGTGCCTGGCTCCAAGTGAAAGTCATTGTTCTTGTGCCGCATACCTTCTGGAGGTGTATTAAATAGGACAATGAGCCTGGCCGGGCGTGGCTCAGCGGTTGAGCATTGACCTAGGATCCAGACGATCGGGGTTCGATTCCCGGTCAGGGCACATGCCCGGGTTGCAGGCTCAATCAATGACTCTCTCATCATTGATGTTTCTATCTCTCTCTCCCCCTTCCTTTCCTCTCTCTGAAATCAATAAAGATATGTTTAAAATAAAATAAAATAATAAATAAATAAATATAAATAAATAAATAGGACAATGAATGCCAAGTGCAGTACAATGCCTGACACATAGAAAGTGATCAGTAAATTATAGATGCTAATGTTATTATTATGGATGATCGTTTCCTTGGTCCCTTATTGGTCTCTCTCTTCCTGCACAAGTTGTTCCTCTTTGTATTAAAACTTATCACATTTAATTCTAAAATTTCCCCGTGTTTGCCATCCCCTCTGCACTTCATCAAAATGTTGACGGCAAAAGACCACCAGGGGGCGCAACGACTCAGCAGCCCGGTTTCCACTCTGCGGCGCCACCTAGAGGACAAATGTCATAGCCGCACCAGAAGGACTAGTCCAACCGGAGGGTCAAATTAGGAGCTGGCCCGGCGGAGCGCGGCCCGCGG